CGGCCCGGCGCCTCCGCCTGGCAGGGGAAGGCGAGGCAAGGAAGGAGTGACAAGGGCAACGAGCCAATGGGAAGCCTGCAGGGCCGAGGGGGCGTCGCGCGGCCACGTTTTAGGGTTGGTTGCACGGTGGGCGCCCCCAGAAGTCTGGAGGGCTCTGCCGGGGCGTCCTGGCATTGCGGAGAGGGCTGCGGAGTAGGGGCGGGGACAGCGGGCCACCGGGACCTGGCTGACAGATGCTGCAGGGAACCTCCCAGGAAAGACTCTCGGGATTACCCTCCACCCACCCAGTTTTATTTGGTGGGAAGGGGCGCAGTAGGTATGCTTATCATCACTGCTTTTTCACTCTAACTTTGCACATTATATGCATACTAGAGTACTGGTGCACGATTATTGCACCGGTGGGGTCCCTTAGTCTGCCTGCGGGATCAGGCTGAAACCAGCAGTCCAACATCCCCAGAGGGGTCCCGGATTGCTAGAGGGTGCAGGCCAGGCTGCGGGATTCCACTGGTGTGCGAATCCATGCACCAGGACTCTAGTATGCATATAAGATCTTTCGTTAATCTCTTCTCACCCTCCCCCCTTCCCTGCTTCCTTCTGAGATTCATCAGTCTGTTCCATGTTTCCGTGCCTTTGCTTTGAGTGTCTGCCCCCTGGTGGTCAGTGCACATCATAGCTACTGGTCAATAGTTGAATGGTCAGACAGTTGGACACTTAGCATATTAGCCTTTTATACATATAGACTAGAGGCCCAATGTATGAAATTCATGCAAGAGTAGGCCTTCCCTCCCCCGGCTGCGGGCACCAGCTTCCCTCTGGTACCTAGGACCTGGGCCTCCCTCCTGCCGCCAGCAGGCACCCGGGACCAGGGTTTCCCTCGCAGCCCCAGCTTCATCCAGAAGGTCGTCCGGAAGAACGTCTGGTCTAATTAGCATATTACGCTTTTATTGTTATACATATATAGCTATCCCTTCAATGTGGAAGACCCTGGTCCCTAGGAAACTTGGTCTGAAACAGAAACTCATCGCTACATTCAGCGCTGCAAACGCAAAGGGGAGGGTGCTTCTTCTGTCCCATTGCCCCTTCCCCCACTTTAACTCTCATGAGTCTTAGCTTTATGCTCAGGAATGACAAAGCCTTTCATATTTGAACCCAATAATGAGTGTGAGCATGCCTTGTAAACTGGCTTCCCTGCTTCCCTCTGAGATTCATCAGTCTGTTCCATGTTTCCGTGCCTATGCTTTGAGTGTCTGCCCCCTGGTGGTCAGTGCACATCATAGCTACTGGTCAACAGTTGAATGGTCGGACAGTTGGACACTTAGCATATTAGCCTTTTATACATATAGACTAGAGGCCCAATGTATGAAATTCGTGCAAGAGTAGGCCTTCCTTCCCCCGGCTGCGGGCACCAGCTTTCCTCTGGTACCTAGGATCCGGGCCTCCCTCCTGCTGCCAGCAGGCACCCGGGACCAGGGTTTCCCTCGCAGCCCCAGCTTCATCCAGAAGGTCGTCCGGAAGAACGTCTGGTCTAATTAGCATATTACGCTTTTATTGTTATACATATATAGCTATCCCTTCAATGTGGAAGACCCTGGTCCCTAGGAAACTTGGTCTGAAACAGAAACTCATCGCTACATTCAGCGCTGCAAACGCAAAGGGGAAGGTGCTTCTTCTGTCCCGTTGCCCCTTCCCCCACTTTAACTCTCATGAGTCTTAGCTTTATGCTCAGGAATGACAAAGCCTTTCATATTTGAACCCAATAATGAGTGTGAGCATGCCTTGTAAACTGTAAAGAGCTTTTTAAAGAAGAAAGGCTATTAATGGCAGGAGAGTGGGACGTATGGAAGAGAAGGAGAGGAATGCAATCTCTTTTCCCCATAAATCTCAGCCAAACTGCACCAAGTAATCTGAAGGCAGAAGAGAGCAAATATTGGGGTAACCAATATACAGAGCCTAGTAATAACAAAGTCATCCGCATGCCTACTGTGTGCTTACTTTTTGCCCATCCAGCAGCCTAGAACAGCAGTTCTCAAAGAATGGTTCTGGTACCAGCAGCATCAGCAGCCCATGGAATCATGATTGAATGCAAATTATTGGACACCAGCCAGGTCTACGGAATCAGACATCTGTTTTAACAAGCTCTCCAGGTATTTCTGATGCAAGCTCACAATTGAGAACCCCTGGCCCAGACTGTTAGTGAAGGGGACACTGACGCTGTGAGTCATAGTGACGATCTCCACTGTTTTAGTTTAACAATCCTTTTTACACCCTTCATACTGTTCTAGCCTCATGTCAGTCCTACTAGCCTGTGAGTTTCTTGACTCTCTTCCATCTGCTTCCCATTCTAATCACTCACCTTAATGTACATCCTAGAAGAGCCTAAGGTGTTAAGAGTTTACTTTCTAAACTAGGCAGCTCCATTTTTAGAAGATGGGAACTTAGGATGGGTAGGGAATGTAAAACCACCCCCCACATCCACTACACAGTATCAGACACAATGTAGAAGAAACACAAGCTGCAAGCCTGTAGCTTTTCCAATGGTGAGGGAAAGGCAGAATGCCATGAAGACCCAGGCAGATCTAGACAGAACCAGTGGGCAGATTCCCAGGGTGCAAGATGTCAGGCAGAGGAGTCTACTGCCCCCGTCTGACTGGCCCCAGAGACGTGCAGGGGCCCCACAGACCCTGGGCCAGTCTTGGGGGGGGGGGGCAAACAGTGACCAGCAAATGGTGAACCTACATGGACACATGTTCATGACCTGACTCTAAGCTGAAGAAAAGTGGAGAGATGGTGTGAAGCTTTAAGGAAGCAGAGACCATTATCATTTTGACTTAACGCCTCATTTCTGTACTAGGTTGAAGTGATCCTAAGTTTGATTTTTTTTTAATTTGTTAATTTTATTTGTTGCCCTAGCTGGTTTGGCTCAGTGGATAGAGTCGGGCTGTGGACTGAAAGGTTCCAGGTTCCATTGCAATCAAGGGCACATGCCCAGGTTGCGGGCTCAATCCCCAGTGGGGGG